ACCAAAAAAAAAAAAAAGCCTCAACTGATTCCACTTATCCACTTACACCCATTTTTACTACATCTATATTGTTTTTCCATGTAACCATCAACTTAATGGAGAGAACTCTAACCTGCCAAAAACAACAACAAAAAAACTTCTTCACTGGTTCTCTTGTTTCCATATTGCCCTGCCTCTTTTTCTTCATGTAGCAACTAGATGGATCATATTACTATCTAAGTAATAGCATGAAAATCTCTCCTCTTAAAGAATTCTAACAATTTTCAGGTTCACTGAGGAAATAATCTGTTTTTATACAGGATCCCCAAAGGTCTTGCATGACCTAGACTCTGTTCACCATCCCAAACTCATTCTATAAGACTTGCTCTCGCCTTCTGACTACAGGCAGAACAAACACCTTTCACTGTCTAAATGACAATTCTGTACAATATACCTTTGGACTTTGCACTGGCTTTTTATTTTTTATTTTTTCTGCCTGAAAATAACTTTTCTCCTACACTTTCCATGCCTGCCATGTGTAGGTCTTTCTTAATTTGAAAAACCTCCTTGACTACCATTTCTATCTAAAATAGATTCCCCCATCCAAATTCTTTTTCTCTCTCTTACATGCTATTAGCTTTTATCATAGCATTTTCATTTAATTATTTTGTTATTTGCTTCTTTGCTATTTTTATTTCTCTCCATAAAGACTATGAGGGCCAATGCTGGATCAGAACCATATCTTCACAGCCTTGCATTATTCTGACACAGAGTAATTTCTCAATGCACATAAATAGATGAATAGATAAATGAATGAATAAATGAATGTAACAAATCAAAAGAGAATGAAGCTTTACATTTCTATCACTGTGTGGAGTTGAAATGTATTTTACATCCATGTATTTTAAAAAATGTGTTCTCTGTTGACATTCAATTAATAAAGCTAGTACACAGGAACTCACTTTGAGATATAAATCATTTGAAAGCATTTCTTGGAAAACTTGTTTTTTGTGAGACAATATTTCAATTAACCTCAATGAATAAAAGTTTCTGCATTCATTTTTTTCCATTTTAAATGTTATAAAATGTTTAGAATCAAAGTTCTTATTTCAGTAGTATACTCCTGAAATCCTAGCTATTCCAGAGGTTGAGACAAGAGGAGTTCAAATTTAAGGTCTGTCTTGGCAACTTAGCAAGTCTCTGTCTCAAAGAAAAAAAAAAAAAAAGGACTAGGGATACAGCTCGGTGGTATAGTGTCCCTGGGCTCAATTCCCAGTACCAGGAAGAACTGAGTTTCATTTCACTCCTTTGGGGGAAATATAGTTTTGTTTATCTCAAGAATTTATGTAACTGAGTAACAAGAAGGCATTTTGGGGACAATTCAATTAATGATATATAGGATTATGCAAAAAGCCTCAGAGGTGGACCTAGCAATAGACCAGCTGCCTAAGGGCTTAAAGTTGGATTGGATTTTGTGACCTCATCTATTACTCACTGTAGAGTTCTTGGGAAATTCTACCTTCTTCTCTAAGAGATTAATGAGGCTTTCCCTACTTCTCTTTGTCTATGTGATAATCTTAGTAAATACTGTATATAAAAATGTTTTCAAAACTGTAAAGGACACCACTAATGTGCAGTCAAGTCCTACTATGTTATGAGCAACCTTGCATAATTGAGTTAGGGCAAGATTCCCAAATTATCTGCCAGTGGTTAGTAACCTAGCTATGCATTTTTAAAAAGGCAGATAACAGTTTTGAAAGTGGACCAGAACAAAGAGGAATGATCCTCTAGCTTCTCTGTGGAAGGGTTCTCTTGTGCGTCACTTCTAAGCAGGTCCAAGCTACTTCAGCATGATAGCAACTGATTCATCAGAGGTTGAAAGAGCTATGTCCCTTCTGAAGTCCCATTCCAGCTTCTCTCAACATGCCTCCTTCCTTCTCTTCTCACCTTTTCCCCTTTTCTTCCCCAAAGGGAGAATGTGGAGACAAGGGAGAAGAGATCCTGGAGGGATGAAAAGAAGAGAACCATTTCAGCTCCTTTTATTTCCCCACTGCAAGCTGTGCTGCTGAGTTAAAAATATGTAATTTAGTTTCCAAATCTATTTCAACCCCTGCCTGGCCTACTGAGCAATCACAAACCATCCAATTTCAATTCAAATCTTTGCTTTTAGCTTTATTTTAAATGGAACACAGCAAAGTTGTATAAACAGATAAAAAGTAAATGTTCCACAAAGAGCAGAAGTAGGATTAAAGGAACCAGGAAGTCGATCCATATTTATAGTGTACCAGTCAAAATCTGAATTGTTTTCATCTTATTTATAAAATGTCAAACTTTCCACAAAGTATAAAATGTCATAGAAGGGATCAAACTTCTAGCATCCAGAGTCTGTGCTAACAACAAGTTTTCTTATTATTTTCAGTTGGTGCACATTTACAATTTCATGTAAACAGATAACACATTTTCTGCAGGTGATAATTACTATTCATCTGTCACATTTGGAATAGTACACATTTAGAAAATGACCCATTTCTTAAAAAAAAATGAATCACATCTACCACAAATATTTATGAGCAGAGTACAAGGAAAAAAAAAAGCCTAACATTGTACTTTGTAGTAAATTCTTAATCATTAATTAACTGCTAACCATTAAAGTGAGGAGAATTCAGCCCCTTCCCACAATGCTTTGAAAGTATGCCCAGGTGAATAATGCAGATCACTTGGCAATGAGAAGTAAGATGAGTAATTTAGCAGTATTGTAGTTAACCAAAATCCAGGATTGGCTTACACAGATTGTTTTCACTCATTATCAATATAGTGTTACAGGAGAGAGTACATGGTCAAAAAGAAAAAATAAAATCCATATACAATGGATACCTTCTCCCTTTTGAATTGCAACTTGCTTTATAACCAATTAGACAGATATTATTTTAACTTTCAACCTATAATAATAAAACCATATAGTTCCAGTTATGGCTTTTCACTTTCATTTATGTTCAGGTACATCAGTTCTCTGATGCATATTTAAACTATATACTAGTTGATGCTTTTGTTAATTAATTTATTTTTTTTACTTGAAATGTCATGTTTAAAACTTACCCTTTCTGGGCAGATAAATCCTCTCTTATTGGTATAATATAGTTTTAAATGGCACCACATCATCTGAAACATTCTCCACAAAACTATTTTTGATCTAAAATGATAATTTCCCAGTCACTTATGAAAGATCATGCCTTGACAAATGATTCACTTCTCTAATGAAGCCTCTTTTCAGATTTGCATGAAGGCAAATGCAGTGTGGGCAACCTATCCCTGGAGTAGCAATGGGAAAAGAACCAGAAAAAAAACTCCCATCCTTTTCATCCATCTTTATCACTGTCTACACACAAATACTGAATTAATGCCTTCAGTGGCTTCCCATGACTTTCTCAATAAAATACACACACACACATACACACACACAAAAAAAATCATTTGGAATTCAGAAGACCTGATCCAAGCCTATCATTAATATGCTATGTGTCCTTGTCTAAATCCTTTCTTGTCCTCGTTGCCTCATTTGTTAAATGAGAAGAATGACCTTAGACAGATTTCAAAGAATCATCAACTCTACTCCATCCAACTACATTATCTCCAACAACTCTTTCTAACCTGGGATCACACTCATCCTCCCTCATATCTAATGCTGTCCACTCCCCACTCTTTTGCCTTCTCTATTCTCCCACCATCTCTCTCTTATATAGCCTCAATAGGAAGCATTAGATTCCTCCATGTTTCTAATATTATGTGATATTGATCACATCTCATTGTACATAATACCATCCCAATCTACATGGTTTATTTTTTAAATACACAATCAATCATGGTTCATATTCTGTCCCTGACATTTACTAACTGTGAGCTTGAAGCAGTTACTTAATTTTTCAAGCCTCAGTTTCTTCATCTGTAAAAAAAAGGATAAAGTTAGGGTTTGCTCTTGGGGCTGTTGTGAGGCATAAAGAAATACCTGTAAAAATGCATGGTCTACATGAAAATTTTATATAATGAATACAAAATTAGTGGATGTTATTATTGGTACTATTATTACTGCTAAAAGAATGTAAGCTCCTTCAAACTAGTGTTTATTTCTTATTCAATTCATTTGCTGAAGGGTAATTAGAACAGTAGAAAGAACAGGGACTTTGCTATTAGAAGAGGTGGGCCGACCTGGTGAGTGGGATCCTAGGAAGTCACTTATCTTCATGGAACTGGACTGAGAAGCTGTTTGAAGCTACAGCACAGAGCTTGCCACATAGGTTCTTATTATATATGCAAAGAAAATATGAATAGGAGAGCAACAGTACTGTTAATGGCTGATTATCTGTTAGGCTATATATGTATATGGTTGAAAGAAGAAATAAAGCTGAACACTACTGACTCCATCATCTTAGCAGGGAAGCAAATGCCACCTTCCTAAAGAAAGTAAAATGAAGAGAAAAGGAATGGATTGAGTTCCCTAGCAAAGCAGTCAGCTTCGTGCCCCAGATTCATGCCCTAGGTAGAACACAGGCCGAGCTTTTGGCAGAGAAAGGGACACGTGGGAGGACAAGGGACTTCAGATCAGCTGCCTCCAGTGGAACCTGCTCTGGGCCAAGTAACCAGTTTGAGGGAAACTCAGTTCACAGGGAGCAGGGCAGTCTCAGCTAAGCTCTCAAATAAATCTGTTGTTGACTCTCCTCTCTCCCCAACCATCCCTACCCTGCTGTCAGGTCGGTAGGTAATTAGTGTGGAGGAGAGGCAAAGCTTCTGAGGGGGCAGGGAGATGGGAAAGTACTGGTGGGGGCGGTCTTCTTGTCATAGGTCTCACCAAGAGAGGAGAGGAAGAGAGAGGGAAAACTGGCGGAGGGAGGGTAGGGGGAAGAGGGCCAGAAAGAGAATTTTTTCATTTTTGCACACAGGGCATACTTAATGATTTTTCCACAGACAGACAGACCGATTAGGAAGGGACAGACAGAACACACTTGTGCATCTAAAATAGTTCATACCCCCAAATCCAGGACGCAGCCTGTTGTCATAACCATCGAGCAAACTGTCCAGGATGCGGGTAAAATTTTCCGGGCACAATTTCTCCTCCTTTTGGTTCTGTCCTGGGGATTCGTTTAAACTGCAAGAGCCAAAAAAACGGGGGTGGAAAGGATTATTTTAAGAATGCAACTGAGAACAGGTGGAAACAGGTTTGCCTTCTAGGGAAATAGTCGCTTGCCCCAAGCTAGAGACAGGGTTGGGGGTTGGAATACAGGAAGACCAAAATGGTCAGAAAAGCGCACCCCTTGCCCCTGGCAGCCCGAACCCCTGTACCCACATTCTTTTTGCACCAGGAGCCCCTGGTCCTCTCTGCATCTACGCGGTCACAGAAAAGCTTGGCTTCAGCCCACGATATTACAGTAAAGCAGGTCCATTTCGCTCAGAGAGGGGTGGGCGGACAGAGAGGGCCAAGAGCTACCCACTTCTCTCCTTTCCCCCCGCGCCCCCCAAGGACCCCAGAGAACTCACCAAACAGCCTGGCACAGGAAGTGCAGGAGGGCGAAACTGAACCCGGAGCACAGCGCAATCGCGGGTACCTTCTTGGCAGAAACCATCTTTGCAACATGCCATACTTTAAGCCTGTTCACGTTTCCAGGCTCTCAAGATGCCCTGAGCAGGGTGCGAGGAGAGGGCAGAGTGGCTCCTGCGGCGTGCGCACACTCGCGCTCACACTCGCCCGCGCTCACACTCGCCCGCGCTCCGCCAGCCCGAGCCGCGGTGGGCGTGTGTGTGCACGCGGGCCAGGGGAGGCGGAACCTGCCTTTCCTCGCCCCCTCCTTTCCTCGCTCAGCGTTCAATGTGTATGTAGAGCTATGTATACCGCTCCTCGCCCTCTGGTGCCGGCACATCAAGGTACAGGGGTTAACTTGGACGCGTCAGCGACGCAAAGCCAGGCAAGTTTGTTCCAACCTGTAACTCTGGGGACGGGGACCTAGGTCCTTCGCCCCTCTCCAGGTCTGCAAGCCCTCAATCCAATGTATCTCCGCCCACAGCGGAGCTGGGCTTCCTCTTCTCCCTCCTGGTCCTCCTCTCTTCCGCCGGGATTTGGATCTAACCAATGAAGCTCCTCTCTATTAGGTTGTGCGAGGACCTGTTTGTACCCATTGTCAGTGCTGGAGGTGGAGAAAGGGCGGGATGACAGGGTTTGCTGGGCGTAGGGGTAGGAGGCGGCGGTGAGTGAGGAAAGGGGATCTGGTCTGGGCAGATATAATCTTTGGGACCCTCCCGTTGAGCAGCTAGCGGTAGGAGGAATGTCAGTGGTGACAAAAGGAAGAAGAGATTCCTCCTGATAATAGCGGTTTCAACTACCTGGGCGGACTCTCGCCAAACTTAAGAAGTGGACCCCCTGTTTATTTGTCAAGCTATTGCTTTAAAAATGCCAAATGTGCTTACTCTGCCAGCGCCCACCGACACACGCACGGCCTCCACTTTGCTGTTCCATCCTTTTCTGGAGGGGAGGAGAGACAAGCGACTTCGGGACAAAATCACTTTTACTTATTGCAACACTTCAGAATGGAGCTGTCGGATTTCCAGAGATTGATGGCTTTAGGAAGGAAGAAAGGGGAAAGATAGCTGGGAAGAGGAGAGGAGGAAGAAAGAAAAAAAAATGCTTCAGTCTATGTGAGGTTTTTTTTTTTTTTGCGGGGGGGAAAGGGGGACAGAAAGAAATAAAAATGAAGGGGAGCAAGTTAGTTCATTTATGACTTGAAAGGGAAAACTAAGCACTATATACTTTTACTGTTCTATTGAATAAAAATGAGTACTTCCATCAGATCTTTTAAAAACAATTATTGGTTTCAAGGGAGAAAGTGTCTTTCACATTAATTCTGCTGCATGTGTGGAAATGTGCATATAATGGATCAATGATGTTAAGCCTTGGAATGAGAAATCAATTTTTATATTTTGGTTAGAATTTTAATGATTTGTTTAAATTTTGATGAGTAGTGGGCAATATAAAACATTATATTAGGACTGGACATGGTGGCCCATGCCTGTAATCCCAGCAATTAAGGAAGCTGAGACAGGAAGATCACAAGTTTCAGACCAGCCTCAGCAATTTAGCAAGGCCCTAAGCAATTTACTGAAAAATCTGTCTCAAAATTTTTAAAAAGGGGGTGGGGTGGGGAGTGCCTTTGGGGATGTAGCTCAGTTGTAAAGCATTTCTGGATTAAATCCCCAGCACCCAAAACATAAATTTTTTAAAAACAACATTATTTTAGAGAGGGGTTTGGGGTTTTGTTTGTTTCAATCTCCTGATTACAGTTTTCTTTCAAAAGGGAAGCCAAAGGTGTCCATAGTATGTAATAGACAAAGCATTTGCTGCCATGATGTTCTGCATTCTGCACTGCTGTCTTCTCAGAATTTAGTATACTTCATATTTATTTCATCTGTATCATTCTTCTCATAGATTATAATCTCCTTGAGGCCCAAGCTGGGTAATTTTTATTCATTTGTTATAGTGCATAGTACATGGCATATCCATAAATATTGAATGAACAATTAAATCAGTGAATCACTTGGTCCCAGATCCATCTTCATAATTCAGATGAAATTCAAGCTATCTCATTTGGGAAAAACAATTCAAATAGTAGATATGCCATGAAAACACCTGTCTCTACATATTTTCTGCATAAAAGCTCAAAATACATAATTAGTATACTACTTCTTTTATTATTTCTCCAATCTTAATACATTCCTACACTTTCTAAAATTGAAATAGTCTTTTTTGAACTAGTTTCCCATACAATTTATGTTTAAAAATATACATATTAAAAAATAAACAACGAAAAATGGCCTTGGGAAAAATAATTTACATAAGTATTTAAATTTTCATCTTTAAATATGTGAAACTAATTGCTGGAAATAGAAATGGTGATCCTCCTTTAAGTGTAGTTATTTCTAATTATATTTTCATTATCTGGTTTATGATATATAGTATATGGTATATATTACAGAAAACAGAATATACACATATATAATACATATACTATAATCTGAATATATAGTAAATATATATTGTATTTACAGTTTTGCTAAGAAAATAGTACAGTCATTTACATCACTTTCTATTTTTTCACAGTCTTTTACTTATGCTACCTTTATATTACTTAATGAAGTCATATGTTGGGTTTTTCTGCCTGAAATCTTATTTAAAAATACACATTGCTTGTCAACATGAGTTTTCTTTTAAGTAACTCACCATTTGGAGCAATTTTAATTTACATTAAGTTTAAAACATCATTAAATATGCTACTGCTTTCTGTATGAGCTTCCTATTATTGATGGCCCAATACTCTGAGTGGATTCCTCCAACTGACTATATTGCTTTGGAGAACTAAGAAGATGTTAAAATATACCATACCTTCCATAAGTCTTTGGTTGCTATGTTTAGTAGAATTTGAATTGGGTCCAAGTACACTTTTTAAAAATATCATTATGGTAAGCCAGTTACATTTCATAAATTTAACAGATAGTTTTATATCTGATATAATGGGATACAAATAATATAGATTGTCCTAAGGCTAAAGTCTTAGCAGACACTTCAGAAATCCCCTGAAAATGAACACAATATCTTGTACTATGGAACAAAATATATTTTCTTGTGAAAGTGTTTATAACTTTCACCAGATCTGCATACTATGAACAACTATAATATGGAATAATGTTTTGATACAAAAGATGTTGCACATAATCAAATATTCAAACAAGTAGGTGAACAAACATTTGTAACTCATGTGTGATAAACATTTTCACTACATTTTATGAGCTTGTCCATTGTCAGGTTCTATAGTCTATTATGCAACTCTTAAGTATCATTTGTGGCTACTTAGTCCCATATGTCGTCAATTTCTCAAATGTTTTGAGTGTTAATAAAGTGACTAGTAATCTGAAAGAGTTCAACTTATTCCTCTTTCTTTCTGGTAAATATTGAACCAATTATATCCATTTAAAGAGGATAGTGGTTTACTTACTGCTTTAAATTCTGAAGGCTTATGGAGGCAGACTGAATTTAAAACATTTCTATTCTAAGAGTATAGGAATTATTGACTATGTTAATTCAGTTCTCTGTCCCATTTATTTGTATAGGTAAGAAGAACTGATCTGAGGCTCTCTAGTTATGTCTTTCTTTATTTTTATTAAAATAACATTGCCTCTGAAATGGTACTTGTATGCCAGCCTAATCTATTATTATTGGTTGTAGTTTTTAGCTTCATTCTTTTTTAAAAAAATGTTTTATTTATATATGACAGTGGAATGCATTACAATTAATATTACACATATAGAGCGCAAATTTTTCATATCTCTGGTTGTATAAAAGTATATTCACACCAATTCGTGTCTCCATACATGTACTTTGGATAATGATGTCCATCACATTCCATTATCATTTCTAACCCATGCTCCCTTCCTTCCCCCCCTACTCCCTTGCCCTATCTAGAGTTCTTCTGTTCCTCCCATGCTTTTAAGCAACCCACCATTCGGAGCAATTTTAATTTACATTAAGTTTAAAACATCATTAAATATGCTACTGCTTTCTGTATGAGCTTTCTATTCATGATGGCCAATACTCTGAGTGGATTCCTCCAACTGGCTATATTGCTGTGGAGAACTAAGAAGATGTTAAAATATACTATACCTTCCATAAGTCTCCCTACTCTACTATGAATCAGCCTCCTTATATCAGAGAAAAAAAAATTGGCATTTGTTTTTTTTTGGGATTGACTAACTTTTTCACTGTGTGTGTACATTTAAGTTGTAGGATATGATACAGATATATATAGAAATGATTGCTATTATCAAATTAACATATAAATCACCTTACATAGTAACATTTTGTTTGTGTGAGGTATAAGAACACCTGAAATCTACTTTCTGAGCACTGAAATGTTCAGCACATAATACAATATTGTTAACCATGGTCACCATGCTGTACCGTAGAGCTGTAAACTTATTCACCCTAAATAACTGAAAGCTTGTACACTTTAAGGTTGCATCACTTTATTTCCTCCTGTGTGCAATCTTGCCTGGGTAACCATTCTACCATCCATTTCTATGTATTCAGTTTGCTAAAAATTCCACATATAAGTGAGATCATTTGGTATTTGTCTTTCTGTGTTTGGCTTATTTTACTTAGCACAATACTCTTCAGGTTCATCCGTGTCATAGCAAATGACAGTATCTTTTTAAATAAGAATTAATAATACATATGTATGTAATTATATACATGTGGATTAATAATAAATAATATATATAATATAAATTATAAATAATATATGTAAAATATGTATTACATATATATTATATTTTACATATATATGTATACCTATATAAAAACATGCCATAATTTATCCATTCATCTATCAATGAACACTTAGGTTGTTCCATATTCTGACAATGATAAATGATGCTACAATAAGCATAAAGCATGTAAATCTATTTACAAGGTGTTAATGTCATTTCTTTTGGACATATAACCAGTAGAGGAATTGCTGGTCATGTGGTATTTCTCGTTTTAAGTTTTTGAGGAACCTCTCTATTTTTTCCATTATGGCTGTATCAGTTTTCATCCTTATCTACAGTTTACAAGTCTTCTCAAATCTGAAGGAATTTAACAAATTCTACTTGAAGAAATATTTCATAATATCCATTGAAACTGCTCCAAAAAATTTTTTTGCCATATAGTTAATGCAAACATAGTTATTTCAGTGTGATTATTTGAAAAAGAAATACAGTTTGGGTGATGTACCTTACTGGAATAACCTCTAGACATGGAATTTAGAAAATCAACTATTATAGTGTGTATTTTAAATAATTAATTAAATAATTTTTATAATTATCCAAAGTCCAGTTGGACACTGAGACATGCTGAAAGATCTCCAAAATACCATGTTTTAAAAATTATATTATGAAATACTAGCTCTCCAATGTCAGCTTTAGTTTGATTTGAAGATCCAAATATTTTATAAGTAGGAAGAGTACATTTGAAGGGTCAGAAATATCAGTAATATATTTAACAAATATTTGTATGCTTTTCTGCAAATCACTAATAATATGAGAAGCATTATTTTATTTTTTAGAACTTGAATTCTAGAATGAGCTCTCAGAGTGTATTTGGAAATACTCCTCAAAAAAGTCATGAATATTTCTATATATAAATATTCCATAAAGTTTACACAAAGTACGATTATTAGAATAAATATTCTAATTATTAGAATAAGTATTTTCTTAATTGCATTCATGTATATGTGTTGTATGTGTACACATTTTCAAAGTTTCTATTATGAAGTGATGTATATTGTTTTTAGTAGCTAATAATAATGGCTAGTGAGGGAAATTTATGCATTACCAATTGTGACCCAAATCAAACATGTTATTAAATTTGTTTATAAGTGCCTATTTTATGATATTATGTTGTGTCATATATCAAGAGATATCATATTACCAAACTATTTCATGCCCATTTTATAGGCTAATGAAACTCTCAAACTTGTTCATAAACAAACATCTAAAATATAGCATTTTGTATTAGTAGGAA